GAGCAGGAAAGGGCAGGAAGGAGCAGGAAAGGGCAGGAAGGAGCAGGAAAGGGCAGGAAGGGCTGTATCCTCGTGCACAGGTACCGCCGGCGGAGGCAGAGCTGCCCCAGCTGCCACCATTCCTGGTGTGAGGAGCTGCGGGACCAGGACATGACCCTCAGGAAGGTAGGAATGGGAGCAGGAGCACGTGGAGGGGCTGTGGGATCCAGGTGTGCCCTGGGGTGGGGCAGGGGGGTACAGAGCCCACGGGCATCCCTCCCGTGCGGGAGGTTTGGGCAGGGCATGGCCGGGTTTGGTGGCCGGATTTGGTCCCTGCGCTGCTTCCACCTCCGGAGCAGAGGCTGCCCTGCCCTTCCAGGTGGATTTCATCTGGATAAACCGGGATCAGAAGCACTTCGAGTGGTTCCTCAGCCTCCTGAGCAAGCTGGAAAGGGAGCAGGCGGAGCTGGAGCCGGGAGGTGAGCGGGAGGCAGGGCCAGCATTCCCGGGACATCCCCCATCCATCCCAGTGCCGGGGTGCGGGTCCGCGGTGCCAGCCGGGCTCCCCTGGCACCCCCAGGGCGGTTCCTGGAGCTCCACCTGTACATGACCTCGGCCCTGGCGAGGAGCGACGTGAAGGCCCTGGGGCTGCAGGTGGCGCTGGATCTGCTGGCGGCCAAGGAAAAGCGGGATTCCATCACCGGGCTGCGCACGCGGACACAGCCCGGCCGGCCCGACTGGGGCAAGGTGGGGCACCGGGACACGTCCCAAAACTGTCCCGGGGCAGGGGGAACCAAGGATAGCCCCCTCTGGGTGCGCTGGGACATCCAGATCCAGGACAGGGAATGCCAGGGGGGCACAGGGAGCCTGAGCTGTGCCAAGGCAGGCAGGGATCAGAAATCAGGGAATGGGTTGGGGGGGAAAGGACCATAAAGATCCATAAGATCCTTAAAGGTTCCAACCCCCTAATCCAGCCCAGGGATCACAGAACCGTGGAATGGGTTGGAAAGGACCTTAAAGATCATCCCATTCCAGCCCCCTGACCCATCCCAGGGTCATAAATCATGGAACGGGTTGGAAAGGACCTTAAAGATCACCTTGTTCCAAGCCCTAATCAGGCCCAGGGATCATAAACCATGGAATGGGTTGGTCTGGGAGGGACCCCCTAATCCAGCCCCCAATCCCCTGGGTCCAGCCAGCACTCCCTCTCCCCCTTCCCCCTGTGCTCCAGGTGTTTGGGAAGGTGGCCCTGGAGCAGGTTGGGAAGGTCCAGGTGTTCTTCTGTGGCTCCCCAGCCCTGGCCAAGGTCATCCGGGGGCACTGCGAGCACTTCGGCTTCCGCTTCTCCAGGGAAAACTTCTGAGCCGGGGCCTTCCCGCCCTGCCAGGCCTGCCCAGGGATGGCACCGGGGCTTGGAGCTGCTCCATCGGGGCTGGGAAGAGGGGGGGTGCACGGTGGGATGGGCCAGGGGGATGTGGGATGGAGGGGTGGGATCCTGGAGCCGGGTGGGATGTGGAGATGGGGGTCCTGGAGCATCCACGGTGGGGTGGGGGGGAGAACCAGGGTCCCAGGGATTTGGGATGGCAGGGATGGGCCCTGTGTCACCTGGCAGGGATTTGGGATGGCAGGGATGGGCCCTGTGTCACCTGGCAGGGATTTGGGATGGCAGGGATGGGCCCTGTGTCACCTGGCAGGGATTTGGGATGGCAGGGGTGGGCC